TAAATATTAATAGAGGAGGATATGAGAGAGAGAAAATATATATATTTTTAATAAAAAATAAGAAAATATTTTTGTATTTTAAATAATTTGTGCTAGAGTATTTTTTTTATTTTTTTATATTGTAGATATTAATAGAGGAGAATAAGAGAGAGAGAAATATATTTTTAGTAGAAAATACTCATTAAAAATGATTTTTCTTATTTTAAATAACTTATATTATAGATAAAATGTTGTTTATGGTTTAGTGAGGGACAAAAAAATTTGTTTTTATTTCCGTCTTTAATTCTGATTTTTATCTTATTCCATAAATATTTTTTAAATCAAACGAAGATCAATTAGAATTCTATTTTCCAATCCTTTATTTTTATCGAATCAAATGCACCCTAATACTTCAATTTCGTATAGGAAATTATAAAAACATGTTAGCTAAATTTTAAATAATGTCGTCCATCAATGTTAGTTAACAATGACATGAACGAGTGTCAATTACTCACTTAATTATGACATTAGCACACTACTAACCCAATTAACAACATTGTGTGCTTGACACTTACCAAAGAATCTATCTATATTTTACTTTCAAAAACTAATCCGATATTCTTAATTTAATTTATAAAAAAACTAGTCTGATTAATATCTTAAGCTTTTGACACAATTTTAGGGACAAAGTTAGGTTTTATTCCAAATGAAAATATCCTATTGCATTTTTCTATTGAATGAAATGTAAAACCTGGTTTCATTTTTCTAAGACTTTTCATATTCTATGTGCGGTTTGGTATAAACTAATGATTATAATTCTACAATTATTATGTCTTGTCTAGTTACAGTTATCTATGTTTTAGCTAAAATAATTGAAAGGATTGATTGATTCATTACTGCAATGTGCTCAAAAGCATCCATCCAAAATCGCCCACTGGTTGATTTGCTTTTCTGGATTCTGATTCAAATAAGTCTTTATTTTTTCTGTGCCACTGCCCATGGTTTTTTACACACATTATCTTTGAAATGTTGAATTATTGGACCAAATCCACAATGGCTTTTTGTTCAATTAAAAAAAAGGTACTACTTGAAATATCTTTGTGTACAACACAACAATAATAAAGAATCAAAAACTTGATTTACAAGAGAAAATCTGATTGACCGTCCAAACTTTAGGCTCCAAAAAGTGTTTTTTTTTAATATAAAACTTAAAATCTAAATTGGACTTTTGAGTTGTAGTTGAATGGTCAATGGTCAGAGTGGTAGTTCTTGGTAGTTAAAATCGTGTTCAACTGATTAGAGGGACAATTAGATTGGTTGTTGGTAACAGGGATGTCAATGGAGTGGGGCTGAAGCGGAGATACATTTTCATCTCAATTTTCACTCTCGAATTTATTTCTCATTTCCGTCTCGGGTCTTTGCTGCGGGAGGATTTTGTCCCTCATTCTCGTCCCCACGGATTCCTGCGGATCCTCACAGATCTCTACGGTATTTGCGAAAATCTATAAACATAAATTTTTATTTATTATTTTTAACTAAATTAATAGAAAAAAATTCAAAAACTAACCATCAAGAAATTAATAAACTAATGATCTACGATAAATATATTATTTAAACAATATTTAATCTTGAAATTCATGAACACCAAATTTTCAAACTTAAAAAAATTTAAAATAATCATTTAGATCTCTCTCTTTTACTAACATTAAATATGTGTTTTACATTTTATAAAACAAGTTATTTGAAATGACCAAAAAACCTACATATAAATGTTAAATTATATTATAATTAACGATATTATGATATTCTAGTGCGGGGCGGGGACTTCACGGAACGGGAGATATGTTCGCCATCCCCATCCCCAAAGTGCCTTCGAGGAAACTTTATTCCCCATCCCCGTCCCTGCGGGGGAAATTCTCCATATTTGGGGCCCCAAACGGAGAATCCGGGGATCCCCATTAATACTAGACAACTGGAGCGTAACCATAATAGGTGGCCCACCAGATCTTAAACGAAACTCTGATATAATCTCTGAATTTGGGTTGGACCTAACTCAATCTTACAAAACCGGCTTGTAAGCCTCTCACGTCCAGGAATTGCGTCTGGAGCGTGGAACTAAATGGTGGGTGACCCCATAGATCTTAGATGAGGCTATGGTACCGTGTTAAGAAATGTGATTGGGCCTAACTCAACCCTACAAAACTGACTTGTAGGGTGAGGATTGTCCCCACTTATTAGCACATATTCAGGTCATATATTATTCGATGTGAGACTCTTAACAGCAATAGTCACAAATAATAAAAGTAATGGTAGTTAGAGTGATAGTCAGAGTTTTGGTCGATAATTGTTGAAATGATTTTCAACAGAGATGAGAGTAATGGTCAAATGTGATCGACAATAGTGGTAATGGTGGAAATGTTAATTTTGAGACAAGTGACTACAGTGATCTGAGGTGGGATCAAAGTGGTGGTCACAAGTCATCGACCACAATTAAATTGGTTATTATATGCAACATGAGTGATGGTCAAAGTGGAGATAGACAGTGAACGGTGATAGTATGAGTAATGGTCATCGACCACAATTAAAATGGTTATTAGATGCAACATGAGTGATGGTCAAAATGAAGATAGATAGTGATCGATTATAATATTAGTAATGGTCGTTGACCATAATTAAAATGGTTATCAGATACAACGTGAGTGGTGGTTAAAGTGGAGATAAATTGTGATAGGTGGTAGAATGAGAAATAGACATCAAAACAAAAATATAATTTTTTGTGGTTTTAAGATGACCCAAACGATTCCTATGATATTACTATAAAATATAATAAATAACCACTCATTTGAAGTCTTTGCTGAACTTGGACTCAACACTTTTTAATTAATTAATCTAGTTATTCTGTTAAGACAGTTTCTATCACTTTTTGTACCACTATATATACCTCATCTAATTATATCACTTCATCAAACAAATACTTATCATTAGCATATTAATTAACAAAAACAAATACTTAACATAGATATGGCAATTCCTGTGATAGATTTCAGCACTCTCAATGGAGACAAAAGAGGTGATACCATGGCGCTTTTGCATCAAGCTTGTCAAAAATGGGGTTGCTTTCTGGTAACATGAATTAACATTTCTGTAACATTTGTTTAATGTAACAAAGTTTTTTTTGGTGATTTTAATGTAACATGTTACTTGTGCAGATTGAGAACCATGAAATTGAAGGGAAGCTGTTGGAGAAAGTGAAGAAGGAAATTAATAATTACTATGAAGAAAATTTGAAGGAAAGTTTCTATAAATCTGAGATAGCGAAAAGTTTGGAGAAAAAGCAAAACACCTGTGATATCGACTGGGAAAGTTCGTTCTTCATTTGGCATCGCCCAACCTCTAACATTAGGAAAATTCCAAATCTCTCTGAGGAACTTTGGTTAGTCAATTCAAATTTTAACACGAGTCTTCAATAATTAGTCGAACTTTGTTACTAAACATCGTGTGTTTCTGGGTTGAAGTTTTTTTATCTTAATACTACTTTTGAACTGGGTTGAATTTTCTAACAGTGTTTTTGTGTAAATGCAGCAAGACAATGGATGAGTACATTGAAAAGCTAGTTGAATTGGCAGAGAAATTATCTGAGCTAATGAGTGAAAATCTTGGATTGGAGAAAGAATACATAAAGAAAGCATTTTCGGGAAGTAATGGACCGGCTTTGGGAACAAAAGTGGCAAAGTACCCTGAATGTCCATTCCCAGAACTAGTGAGAGGTTTGAGAGAGCACACAGATGCTGGTGGAATCATCCTATTGCTTCAAGATGACAAAGTACCTGGTCTTGAATTCTCCAAAGATGGAAAATGGATTGAGATACCACCTTCAAAAAACAACGCAATTTTTGTCAACACAGGTATAGCATAGACACTTATGATCAAATGTGTGTCTGGTGTCTGACACATGTCCACCGGATATATTATTGGTGTAAACGTATTAGTGTCAGACTGTTTGTTTCAATATTTCGTAGTAGATCGTTACTTACATAACTATGGTTAGAAACTCAGTTATCTTAGTAGACATTGTATACAATCAGAAGCTCATTTTAATCATTTTCTAAATCTTATTAACAGGTGATCAAATTGAAGTGTTGAGCAATGGATTATACAAAAGTGTTGTGCATAGGGTCATGCCTGATAAGAATGGAAGTAGACTCTCAATTGCTAGTTTCTATAATCCAGTTGGAGAAGCCATAATATCTCCAGCTCCTAAACTTTTGTACCCAAGTAATTATTGCTATGGAGACTATTTGGAGCTTTATGGAAAAACTAAGTTTGGAGAAAAGGGTCCTAGGTTTGAATCCATCAAGAATAAGGCCAATGGACACTACTAGAAACTAGTACTGTTACAATCTTGTGTACCTTAAAAAAAATCTTGACACCCTTAATTTCTATTTTATGTAACAAAATAGCCAAGAAAGGAAAATGTAACAACAAGTTTCCTTTTTCTTTTATTTTCTTTTTTCATGTTATATGAATAACAAAGAAATGTATGTTTTTTCTTTGATTCCATAAAGGGAAAAACTATAAGTAAAGCTTTTCTTTATCCATTCTTTTCTCTTCCGAGTTTTCTTTTTTTTTCGGGATTTTCCATCTTATGTTTATGTACAAGTGTTAATGGTATTTCGATCTTTCCACGACAATCTCAATGATCAATCTAGACACTGAATAAAACTTTAACCTGCAATCTTGAAGATAATGTTACAGACATGTCTCACTCATTCAAGTCGACTACGAATGAGTTAGCCTCCAAGCAGACAGCGAGTGTGTCTGTATGTTGAATTCAACTTATGTGCAATAAATTATTTATATACTGCATATAGTGACATGAAAACAGTGTTTTTGATGATTGAGGAAATTGGCAGGAAGGGACTAATGCACAAGAAACAATGCTATAACATTAAAATAAATCACCATCACAGTTACTGCTGATAGGTAAACACACTGCTACAAATTCTGATTTCATATTTCTCTTAAGCGGCAGAGAGCTTCCTTGAGTACACGACGTACATCGGATCCGAACGTCCGGGATTCGGAGATATATCCACAGCCTACAAAGAAGGGGGGAAAAAGGACAGTAGCCTCAATATTGGTAACACTATCACATGATCCCATCATATACAACATTGTAGAGACTTTCATATTTGTTTCATGACTAGTAAAAGAAAACCATGTGACGCATAAATCACGTGACGCATTATCATTACAAGTGTCCCTCCATGATCAGTCAGGGAATTAATTACCTGAGGAGGTTCAAATCCTCCTGCGTAATGAAAATAGGACCCAACAATCATAACATGATCCGCATCCCCAGTTGATGTCCATATAGAGATTGCTTTTGTCCAGAAGCATCGGTTTGAAAAGCTGAAAACATGACGAATTCATCCGTAGTTGAATAGTACCATCAGAGATACGAGACCAATAATAGAAATGATGAAGTGCTTGTTTTAATGCAATTATATGAAACAGAGAAGATTTGTCTGCATTTTGATTTTGAAGAAACAATTATGCACCTCATTATGGCCAATCCACCTGGTTTGAGTATCCTGCTCATCTCCTTGAAAATATCAAGAGGCTTTGTAAGGTAATCAACACTGACCTGCAGGGCACATTCAATTCTCAAGTAGTTAATAGTGCTTTGATTTGAGTTAGCTTGTCCATCATTACTGATAATTGCATTAGTATCATCGGTATTTGGTTATGTTGTTAGTTGTTACCCGAATTTCTCATGAAAAAATACTAAACTCAACAGTAATTACTGAATCCTAAGCTATACCTACTAACACGATAAACTTATATTGAAAATGATTAATAGATATATGAAATTTAGAGAAACTACTGCAAAATTACGCATCATACAATACAAGTTATGAAGCACGGACACCCTGAACACGACACAGTGACACTGATAATAATTTGAAATAATGAATAAATTAAATGTAATCACTTGATTTTTTCAGAGGTGTTGGTGCTTCAGAGAATACAAGTATCAACCAATAGCATGCATCACTTGCACTAGTTTCAAGCACAAACGTTAAAACTTATGAAGAAGTATTTTTACCACATTAGTGATGACGTCGAACGAGTTATCTTCAAATGGGAGTTTAGGGTTCACATTTAAGTCTTGTACAGCATACTCCGTGAGGACCTACAGCAGCAAGCAACAGCTTATATCAGTAAGGTAATGTTTCTCTAGCCAATAAAAAAACATCAAGAATCTTGTTTTCAATTGAACTAAAGTTTTGGCTAGATAATATTCATGTTATGGAATATCAAACATGAATGAAAAACCAATCTAGTAGAATAATCTTAGGGTACCAAATTCACTTCTAAAATTAATTAGGTTTTTCTTACCGGGTTCCTCTTCAATTCTTCTTCATTCATGCCTAATCCCACGACTCGTTCTTGCTTGTATCCGGATGGAAAATGGCTGACCTAATGCAAAGTGAAGATTCATGAATTATGACAATATGTGTATGCAATGCCAGAGAAAAGAAAGAGAATGAGTAACAAATCTGAATCTCTTACCCAACTGCTACACATATCCAAAATGCTTACTCCAGGAGTGTTGCTAGGTGGAAAAACCTTGGAGTAATACTTAGTTAAAGCAGCAATTGCAGGATCATCAATGTGTGTTACGAATCGAGGTGCTTCATAGAATGTGGAATCTGATGACCTAATAGGGAAAAATTTCTGAAATTACATGCTAAACTAACAAAATTTAAGTGAAAAGTAGGGTTTGAACTTACTCATCATATCTCTGGAAATCTTCCTCCTTAAAGGGGAATTTCTCTGGCCATTCAACATTCTTCAGTATCTACAAAAAACACAAATATGATTGAATTTTCATCAAATTTCAAACAAGTAAGAAAGTTCAATTATGCAATGAGGGAATATGATATTACTTCATATTCGTCTAAATCCTAAATCCTAAATCCTAAACTTTAAACTGGAAAGTTGATGTATCTGGTCTAATATCATTTATGTTCATATTTGATTGTGGAGAATGATGAGAAACCTGATCGACGGAGGGGCCAGAGCTTATGCTGGCGGATGCAACGAAGGATTTGGCACCAGAAGTAGACATGTTAGTGATAAAATGAGACAAAAATGAAGATGCTCCTAAGCCTAATAACATGCGGCGAGGAGCATTCTTAAATGTCCGGTTTAATAGAGAAGAAGAGGAAGCGACAACAACAACATTACAAGAACAACAACAGGCCAAAACAGGTAACCTTATTCCAACAAAATTGGTCATCATTCTTCTCAATCAGCAAGACATTATTCTGCTGCTAGTGTTACTTTTTTCCTGCCCAAAAATCTGTTTACTCTATGAACATGATAACATTGTGACCGTTGGATTATTCTTAGACATGCATGAGTGAGTGATTTACATGCACATTACGTGGCTTCTTATCCTCTTTTCATCTTATTGCTATTTGCATCTCTTTTTTCCTAAACATTAATATTGGGCCTTGCGGCTGAAGCAGTTGGATGGGACCTTATATCACAATTCTAATAGGTCCTGCTCACTAATCATTACATGTAGTGATCACACATCCTATAGAAATTTCAAAAATACTCTTTCTTTATTCTATATTTTAACATTCGGATTATAAAATCATTGAGGTATTTTATTTTTGTCATAAAATTGGTCTGAAATTCAATCTATCATAGGTTCGGAATTCAATGTTTGGATTAACCCTTGAACGAGTTTTTCACCCTTTAATCGTAAGTTAGAAGAAATTTGACATTTTTCAATAAATTTAAATTATAAGTCATCATCATATCCAGTGCTTCAGGTCTGTTGGTCATGGAGTAGTTTAACAATTTACATAGATTAGAAGATGTAAAAGGCATGAGACATCATCAAGTGTGACGAATCTCTTATCGATTGAAAGATGAAATGGCGACAGCTCAGCGAGTCTTCTCTTTATAAAAGTAGACAATAAGTCATGGTTAATATAACTGTTGTAACTAGTTTTAAAGGTAGAGTCGTCACCCTTAATTTTTATCTTAAGGAAGGGAATATAAAGGAATAACCTGAAAAGTTAGAGATTCTAAGTTTTCGGACTCGGTCTTAGACGAAGGAAAGGTGTTAGGTACCCCCTCATCCAACTTGTTCACAAGAATACTAGGTTTAGAAGTGCGTTTTTTAGGAAAAGGGTTTTTATTTTTATTAGGGGAACTCACCATAATTTTAATCGTATGCCTATGTATTCTCTTATGAGGAATCAGAGTCTCAATTCGTAGTTCATAGTTTGGTTGGTGTTTTTTAGAGGATTGCATAGAAATGCTTTCAAATTTATCCTTGAACCTTGTTTGAATTGTAAGTGAGTGATTGTAGATACAGTTTGCAGTTAATTTTGAAAGTAATTCGCCTTAATCCTTTTTCGAAAATATCTTGATTTTGATTATGTTAGTAGAAAAAATTAGTTTGTAATTGGTTAGTTATATTAAGACGTGGAGTGGGAGAGTCTGATATAATCTCCTCATCATGTGGCCAGATATTGGCCACGTGTCATTCGCGGATGGTGAATTTAGTAAATTTATGTGTATTTTAATTATTTGATTTTAAATAATAAACCGATAGACGATGTGTCGATCGATTTAATTACTCGAAAATGGACATCCTATTATTTATAGGATGTCTGAATTAATTACTTTGATTAATAAAAGTGTTCAATATTATTTTACTAACTATCCTAAATAATTTAATAAATTAATTATTTACAACAAATAAATAAATCTAATAAAATAAAATAAAAACTATATATTTTTTATATTATTATCATTTTTTAGTGAAAGAAAAAAACTAACTAAACCTAAACTCTAGAAAAAAGCCACGTTAGTAATCCTATCAAAGTTTTAGTTTTTTCCCAAATTTCCTAATAATTAACTAATCTATATATTTAAAGATCAAAACAAATTGATGGGCCGGAGGAATTTGCTGTAAATAAGGCCCATTTGATAGTAAATTAATAGAATAATCAAAAGAAAAAAAAGAAGATCATGTACTGGTGTATAAGGGCCGGCAGTATACTTATATATACAAGGAGTTATGCTTTGACTTTTCAACCACCAGATACATTGGTTCAACTATATAGTGACACGTGGCATTGTTTTATTAAAAAAAAGAATTTAAGCATATTACCAGCATGTTTGTATTCGGAGATCAGAGAGAAAAAACACAAAACCAACACTTTTAGCTCATCTCCTTCTCTCTCAATGCAAAGCAAGGTCATGGTTTTGGAGCAACAACAAGGTATCTTGGACAACAATATATTTGGGCTTTTATGGACTGATTTTTGACATTGTTTGGCTTTTGGAAACATGAAGAATAATGGAAGACTAAGCATGAATGGTAGTATGAAGATGACGGAAAATTGGATTTTGGTCTAGACATTAGGAACTTAGGTTTAAGACTTTAGAACTATGTAATTGAAACTTGTGGCTTCCTTTGTAATTTGGTAATGAATGAACCTTGTAATTTGTTTGATATTTGAATGAATATAAATGGAAGTTGCTTGAAAATTGGAATGAGATTATGGATGCGATTTGATAGAAATTTAAAAGAAATCTTTGAATTATTCTTCAAATATTAAATGAGCTTGCAATGGATGCTTAATGTCTTTGCTAATTTGAACTTGTAACTTGAAGTCATGAATAAAACTTTCTCATGAATGAAGCCTGAAGAATGCTTGAATGAACTTTGAATATGAATGAAACTTGTAATGGATGAATGAATATTGAATCTTGAATGATGCTTGAATACTTGAATGAATCTAAAAACACCACTTGAATAAATACATCATACTTTAATTCTCAATTCAAATCCAAACCAAATTGCACGACAAAGCAACAAACAAAGAAGATAATGACAATGCTTTGATCATAAAAATGATTCTATAATCATCATCTCTTGTATCATGATTCAATCTTTTGTAACTCAAACCACAAGCCCTTTTCCTTGACAAAGTCTTTCTTCATTTGATAACTTTAATCGCAAAATAATGCCTTTGAACAATCCTTGTAAGAAGATGAATGAGACTCGAAGCATGGAAGAATATCCTCGAGATAAAACTCCAACCATAATCTTCACATTGAAGAATGTTAACAAGCTCTAACATGAATGAGGAACCCTAACCCACTTGCATTTATGAATTCACAAACTTATTCACAAAAGATGAGAAACATTAACCCACTTGCATTAGGAACAAAAAGTACTTGAGGGATAGAAAGAAAATACATGCTTATGAAAAAAGAACCAGATCTTAAAAGTAACTTTTATTGGTCAGATATGAAAGCCTGTCTTTTTTCTTGGCCAATATCCTCCAAAAGCAAAGTCAGAAACCACCTGCATGACTTTTTGTTTCAGTTACACAAACACCAAAGGCTAGGGGATAATATTGGTCTTTGGGATCTCTTCCAACAACAATTAGCAAGGTCCCTCCATATTTTATCTTAAGATGACATCCATCAATACCAATGAATGACCTGCAAGATATAGTGAATCCCTTCTTAACTCCATCAAAGCAAAAGCAAAAACACCTGAACCTTGGTTGTATTGTGGATCTAACTCTTGTCAGATTAATTTTGCAAGTGTTCTATGCATTTTCCCTCCTTAATTATACATAATATATCTACAATAGGGTATACTTCTTTGCTACATCACCTTCAACCAAAGCTTTTTCAATTTTCTTTTCCTTTCGTGCCCTATTCATAGTAATACCAACATAGTAAGTACTCTTAATCTCATAAACAATATCACGAATCTTGATTCCATCAGAGGATGTCATCCTAGTCGCCATAGTCTTAGTAATCCACTTGGAATTGGCTTAACTATTATTCAATACCCTACCACACGTGTGAGAACCAACCCATCTCTTCATTATATATGTGTGTTTATTCACAACCTTACTAACAACTGCCAAAAATCCACATTTGCCCTTGTAAACTACCCTTACTCTAACTTTTTCATTTTCACATACTTTATCTCTCTACAATTTAATATTGACCATTCAGTAATTGCCTCCTTGAATTCAGCTAGTGATACAAACTCCAATCCCACTTTGAACTTGTAGTTCTTGTCCAACTCCTCCATCTTAAACCTAGGATACTTTGGTCTTTTCTCTTTATCTGAGGCATCAGGATCACTACTACTAAGAACATCATTGACATTATTAGTTTCCATATCTTAATTATCATCATTAACACCATTCGATTAACCTAAGTTATCATCAAGATTTCTTATTTTTCTTGGAGTACGTTTGTGTTTCCTTGCTACCTACTTAACCCTTTTACTTTTTCTCCCAGATTGTTTTTCTTCTAAATCAAATCCATCATCCAACCCAAGATTCTTCTCATCCTAATTATCATAAAGTGATATACCATTAGCATCAAAGTCACTATTGTAACACCCCAATTCTACCCCTCGTAATTATTAATAAAATTAGAGTTTCAAAATTTCATCCAAACATAAATTGAGGTATCACATATTCGTGTTTTTCATCACTTTGCATTATAATGCACATCACAAAATCAAAAGTCGAATATACCGATTCATAACATAAATCATCATATAAACATATGACTAATCACAGCATATCGGATGTGTTCACAAAATGTACGTATCATCATGTTATCATCAATACATAAAGTCATAAGATAGTATACATAAACTATCCTATCAAAATAATAACGTCGCTCAAATCTCGAGTGTTACTACTATCAGAGCAAAGCGACTCAAAATAAAGAGACTCGAGCTAATCCTCATCATCCTCGCGGATCACCTGCACGTTACCAATGTAAAGGCAACGGCGAAACAAGTAAAGGGTGAGATACTCCAAAACATATAATTAAAGGCATGATAAAATATATAAATAGTTTTGGAATCATAAATGATATAGATTAATAAGAATATGTCAACAAATATCAAATCTCACATACTTTAAAATCATTATTTAGTGTATAAGATCAACACTTTAATACCATCACATAATCACCATAATCATGTCAAAACAAGACATAAACTCCATCGCCATAAACTCATATCGTCGCTTTACCGTCATGTTGTATCCATCGCATAATTTTCATGAAATTATCACATCATAATCACTTTATGTTCAATACAAAAATCATCACAAAACAAAGTGTCATATAACATCGCAATTCATTATAAGTCATCAAATAAAACTTAACGCCAAAAGACTAAAAAATAAACATAACTGACTCCATGAGGCACGCCTATGTTATGCA